CAAATGTTTGAATCGTCCATAGTCGATTTAAATATGTTTAATGGTAATGTCAACATGACATAGAGAAAAATTAGGGGCAAGTTCAGTTTTTAGATTCAGTAAATGCATAAAGGTAAAATTCAGTAAATGCATAAGGATAAAACGGAAATAACCAATAAATTATACTGAAATTAATTAAACTAATGGCAAATTGAAAGAAAATTTGAAATTTTTTTCTTTAATATTATATTTCTTTGCTGTTAAACAAATCATAAATTAGGCATATTTGGGAGATTTTTCTAATAATCGCCTTTCAACTCCTCTCTGTTTCTCCGATAGTTGGATTCAAACTGGTCTTGATGTTTTCAGTCTCGCCTTTTTCAATAGTAATTCGTTGGAGGCTCCAACGAACAATACTTTTTGTTTTTTTCACATTTAAATGTTAGTTAGCGAATCCACTATTCCCTTTTGACTTTATTTCTGATAAACGTCTTTTAAATATATGTATTAAGGGCAAATTTTACAAAAGCGCCGTTATGTTTGGTGTCATTATTATTTACGTCAAAATGCATGACGAAAATTAACCCTAATTTCAAAGATTCACATTGCTTGAAAATTTTGAAATCAGCAAATTTTAGGAAGCCAAGCGGCAAACTTTGAAGTAATTTTTTTTTCTTTAATTCTTTTTTCCTTAGGCTTTCCTTACCTGCAAAAATCTTAATTAAAAACACACTTGAGTCTCCAATTTTCAATTTTAACTCCGTCCATTTTGACCTACGTAATTTTAAATGACAAAATCCACAATTTTAAGAGTATTAGTCGACTAGTTCTTGAGAAATAAAAACAGGCATCCTGATCAAACTATTAGGAACCTGTTTTCCAGATTCCACTAAGCTGTTAGCATATTTAAGTTTGGGTCCTTAAACCATAAAAATTGCATCTTAAGAAATGTTAATCGTATCATTAGATCAAAGGCTATATGGGATTCCGTTCTTTTATTTTGCATACTGATTAATGACTTTGAAAATAATTAGTACTTTAATTGCATTTTTAATTACAAAACAAAACAAAATATGTAATTAAACTTTTAAGAATGATAAAAACTTTTAATTAATAGCAAAAATTTGCTTTTACTTGATGCATTGTATTCTAAGTTAGTAAATTTTATACGAAATGCATTGGAGATACTAATTGCAGTTTTATTTTTTAAGTCTATTTTTTAAATTTTATTCTATAACTGACGATGAATAGCCGACCAATTCTGAGTTACGACTATCAATTTTCAGCTCCATAGCCTTGTAATTTTGAACAAAAAACAAGGGATCTCCTGGAACAAGCATTGGGACAAACTAGACTTTTTGATGGAACTCACACGCCTTTGCGTTGCATGGAGAGAAACACAATGAAACTTTCCACGGTTAGCTCAACAGCAAGAGGATTATAACCCAATTGTTTCACAACCCCAAGAGGTTTCGTAGCAATACCCAATTGTTACCAAGCCAGAAATTTTGAAAAGATTTCTATACGATAGCCAATCTTGCGAAATTATCATGCCTTAAATTCATTTGAAAGAACCGTAAAATTTGCAACATTTTGAAAAGCAACGAAAAACATCCAGAATCTTTCTAATTATTGCAAATATATTTGCTTAGAAAATTGCTGCATACAAATCAAACAATAATTAAGTAAATTTTATCAACAAAAAAAAAATCCGGAATATTTATCAAACAAACACTTGTTAAATATTACCATGAGACGATAAGGGCTTATACAAGAATAATAATATTAATAATTTAAGTGGGAAGAACAACCCTTGTGAACTTGGCGCGTTTTTTATGGCTAAAAAAGATCTATGAAGGGTACTGTTTATCCTTTATTATTATTCATTTCTGCACTTGGATTTTGTGGAGTCCTGATTGAGTGTTCAGTTTGAATCAAATAACCTATTAAAAGCGTTACGTGAATCAACTTTAAGGTGAAATGGGATAACTTTAAACGCGTGACTGAAATTACAGCAAATTTAAGTACTATTAAGACACCCGCTTTTTAACAGTTAATAAATGAAAATTTCTCGGAGGAAATTTGTGATTGTGTTCTCAAATATACACATATATATAAGTCTTCNAAATATATATATATATATATGTACTTTTGAAGCATTTAGCACAGAGAAAAAAAAATTCTGGTAAAACCGCAGTATTGCAAGGTAATGATATTTCTGGTTTAAAAAAAAAATTTAAATAATCCATAATTCGCTTCAAAACCAAATTATACGGTATTGAAACCATTCATAAGATAATTTTTCTATTCATATGGTAATGGGTTATTGGAAATTCTGGTTATCAAAACTATAGTAAGTATTACCATACATTTAGTAAAAAAGAATAAAAAAGTACATTTAACCAAATAAATGGCTTTTACGTCATGCTCTTAGGTGTCATGAGAAAAATTACAAATTTTTACCATATTTACCAAATTTTATCTCTTAGTATAAAATAACCTTTTATTGTTAATTTTTTCCAAAATCATTACCCAAAATGCTTCGGTAAAAATTACCGATCTTTTTGGTGTTTCAATAGATCAAGAAACTAAGTAAATTTTACAATATTCCGGTAGTTTGAACCATACTTTTTTTGTGGGAACGGGAATTCGAATCCAACCGGATGGAGACTCCCTGAGCAGTAAATGCTAACTGGTGCACGGTAAATCTGTCGGGTCACAAAGTCCTCCCATAACAACTCAATATCTCTGGGATACTGAATAGAAGATTGATCGTTCTCTGATTTAGGTCAAAATTACGATTTGTGGATGAATGAATGGATGTATGAATGGTTCCGCCATATAAACGGGTGTGACGTGTGCGTGCGGCAGAAGTTGAATTCTTGGCCACAGATGGCGCCACTGGAAAAAAGAATAATCCAATCCCTTCTGCCTTAACGGCCGATGACGACAACAACAACATTACATTATCATTATATTATAATTATTATTGCCGCTATAATTAATATTGCTACTGGCAAAACAATCAGTGTTAAGACTATTCATCCACAAACTACGTTTCGTAGATTTTTTTAATGAAAATAATATTTAAACGGTTTTTAATTTAAAAAACAATTTTTAATAATAAATCACTCCTAATCTCTATTTCATAAAGGTTATCTCTATTTCATCCATGCTAGAACTTTTTTCTATTTAGTTATTGCATTTAATTTTTTCTAAATTAATATTTATTCAAAGTTGATGTACATAACATTAACTATTTATTTCAATCTTTGAAAATTCACTTGTAAAAAATATTTAATTTATAAACTGGACAAAAACACTTCGCCTTAAAACAATGTATCTTTTTTTTCGATAATAATATTACCAAAAACGGCCATATTACAGTAAATTTTTTTAATCTTAATATTTGGCATAAATTTACTGTCTCCTTTTACTTTCCCAAAGTGTATTTCATGGCATTCTAGGTTGGCATATATACAAACGATCATGACTATCTCTTTCCTCTTAACAATCATGCTAATTTTTAAAAAAATTGATGTAAGTTAAAAATATATGAGTGTTCACTATGTGTCACTTTAAAAAACACATATCATTTGCAAATTACTATTAAATAAAACAAAAAATCGAATAACTGTATCAAATAGCATCCTGCTCTTTGAACTAATCAGGCATGAGTAACCGGCTTTTTCGTTGCTTTAAAACACGCACCTCTTTTCAAGAGCATTTGGTATTTAATTTCAATTGTTTTCTTTGTATTTTTATTTTTGATCACTTCATCTCATTAATTATACTTAAAGTGGTAATGAGAACTTTAAATACAAGTTGTATAACTCTACTTTTAACTTTAACAGTTATCTAATTTCTTTCTAATATCCCTGCAAATTAAACTTTCACATCAATAATTTGTAAAATAATAGATATTAAGACTGGGAAGTCATGAAAAATTTTAATTATCATAACAGTGCTTTGACTTGATAAAGTCTGCTGATTCCTGCTGTGACGCACATCTATATTTTATTCAGAAAAGATATGACAATCTTCTTTTAAAACTTAATAACATCATTAAATAATTTTTATAAATAACGAAAGCGACTATACATAATTTCGTTAGGAAATCCTGCCAACTTTTTAATGAAATTGGATTATTTTATTAATTTTTGATGCGCAGCATAATCATTCATATCAAAACTCATATAAACAAAAATTACTAAATTAATTTTTTTTATTAAAAATAACGCGATTATTATAGGAATTATAAGTATACAAATATATAATAGTTATTATTTATTACATTGAAATATATATATATATACAAATGTCCAAGGCTGTAAGTCATTTGAATAGAAAAATGTCTAATGGCTATTATCCTGATAAAAATAGACGAGTAGTCAGAAGCAATTTTAACGAGGGGTGTTATCAACATTAAGATAAAAATGTATGGACAACTTGTCAAATTTACCTGTTTTATGCAAAATAAACTGCAGCGTTAAAAATGAACAATATGATCAAAATTTTGACTAATTTTAAATGATTCACGAACAATGATAATATTTGTGAATAATAAACAAAGATTAATGTCATTGACTCATATAAACTAAGTAAGCAGCAATGAGATTTTGTATGTGTTTTGAACTGCTAATATAGTTATGCATGTATATCAGCTAATAATAGTTTATGAAAAATTTAAAATGCTTAAAATGTTTATATCATACATAATTCATTTAAAGTTAAACGATTGTTTCTTTTCTTTCTACGCAGTCAAAATAGAAACATATTTACGTTAACTATCCAAAATGAGTTACCGTTTCAAGCAGACTTATATTGTAATTGGTAAACATTCAAACTACACTTAATTCCGAAAAAAAATCATAATATTTTACTAATTTTTTCATATTTTCTTTGATTTCTTCACATTTTTAAAAATAACCATAAATATAAGAGCTAATGAATAATTCGACTCAAACACCTATCGTATTCTAAAGAGAAGCAAAAAATAGTTTTTTGAATAAATATTTTACCTTTCTTTGGATTGTTTGATTTCCCCGAAGGAGACGTTAGAATTCTTTGTGGAGTTCTTTGAACAGCCGGTGATTCTGGTACACTTGCAACAAACGGAGGCTGTACCCCTAGAATACCTTCGATACTGTAAGAAGGGGGTACACCAGGCCGAAGTCGGGCATAATGATGACCGAGAGGTACACTGTACGGAGCGATAGGCAATGCACCGACCAACGGGCCGGAGGCGTAAAGCCTGGAGTCCATGGGTTCTGCTTAATTGCATTAAAACTGGACATCTGACATGGCGGCCATAGATGCTGCTAGAGGATCATGGATGACTCCGCCTTAAAATGAAAAAGAACCAATGAGAAATCTAACCCCTCCCCTCCGGATGAAATGGGCGTTGCTTAAGGGAGAAACAAGCTGCTCCTGAGCTTCTTTTGTGTTTCAAACACGTGATACTGCTTTCATGATGGATTTCGTAAAGATTTCGGCGATTTTAATTGAAAGAAAAGTCATTTGGCGAATAACTTTATGTTATTAATAGAATAGTATGCAAGGAAAGATTTCAATTTAATTTAGAATTCGATTAAATTGATAGATGATTTTCCTTTAGAGAGAAAGAAGGTGCAGGTTCCTTAATTTTGTTAATAACTTACAAACATTATAAATAGTTTGGAAATTCTTAGTTTAAAAGCTTTATATCAATTTTATAAAAATTATCTTCAACTAATTTTTTCATTTACTTGGTTGTTTAAGAAGTCATATTAATCTGAAAATTTTAATTGAATAAAATTAAATGTGCTCTATTAAACCTATGCATAATTTTTTTTTTTGAAAAAAATCTATCATTAAAAGTCGTAAATTAAGTCGTGTATTTTTTTAAATTTAAATTCGTTTTTTATACTAATTAGATTTGTTAATTTGTAATTTACTTCGTACAAATATTACGCACGCATGTTTTTGGCTCTTGTGGATTCCCCCTTCTCCCTTGTCAACAAAAATAAGCAATTGACAAACAATCTTGCATGCTTATGTAAAAAAGTTCGAGTCCACCGCTCCCTTACTTAACTGCAGTAATTTGATTTTAAAAATTTTAGGATAAAATTGGAAAAAAAACAATGCAACTTTACATAAAATAAATACACGTTAAAAAAATTTTTTATAAGCTTTGGTAGTTTCTTGATAAAATTATTTTCGTCTCTTCCTTTTCCTAAATTTAACTTTCAGTCCAAGTAAGAAAATATTTTCTGAATTTAATTTTTTGTTACATTTATTTTCTTTGTTTGTTTCTTTCTTTCGTTCTTTTTAAACCGACTCTTTAGTTATTAAAAATAATAATTTTAAATGATTAAAGAAATTCGTAAAAAATTGTTTTTTTCGCATATATTTACATATAATGACTGTGTGACAAAGGAGTTAAAGCCGTAATAATGTGTTTAAAAAGTTTAACTACCTCTTTTAGAAGCAAAAATAAATAGAAAAGGAATTATTCCTCATGAAATAGAAACAATTCATAAGAGAATATTTTCAAATTTCGTAGAATTCTGAATTTACTTATTTCGAAATCATTTTAAAAGTCATAAAGTGTTAGTTTTAGGTACATAATCGTGAAGATAATAACTTCATAGGCATATAAATGTAAAAATACTCATACGCATTTATTAATAGTTTGGAGCAACGTAATGCGTAACATATTCAAATTGTTCAGGAAAGCGTTTTGAAATGTTTCTGGGAAAACTCCATAATTTTCATACTAAGAAATTCCGAAAACTTCTATCTGTAAGGAAAGAATGACGAGGAAGAGTTCATATAAAAATGCCGACTTTGGAAAAAGTATGGCTTAAAACTTTATTAACTCAGCCATTGATGTAAATAAATATACGCATATGTTCATAGAGCAATTTAAAAAAATCCCTAAAAATAACAAACATCCCTTAAAAAAAAAGAATCCCTTTAAAAATAATATCCTCTCAATAAAAATCCCTAAACAAAAAAATCAGTTTTGACACCTGATGTGATGCAGCATATGTACACAAAAGTAAAAATTTCTGATAAAATATACAGATATATTTATATATAAAAATTCTGCATATGGTATTCTGCATTTTTTCGTGTATATGGTAACAGTTTAAAGAAATTCTGGTTTTGGTTTTTAAAATTCTAGTTCTTTTCACCACATATTTAGAAACAAATACAGAACTGAAAAGTAAATTTTACCAAAAAAAAAAAAAAACTCAAATACCCTTCAGATAACAACTTACTACTATTTCGTGGAATGTTCAACATTGTGCTAGGCGAAATCAAGCTTTCTCTTTCTTGTAAACAAAAAATATTGATCTTCTGAGACCAAGATTACGCCAAGATTGGCACAAATAATTTATGAATGGAGTGAGCTTGGTGTAAGCTTTATCCTTTATTGAAATTGAAATTTAACTGCACTCTTTAAAATGTGCAAGGACACTTGATTCGGTGTTAACTTGGAATAACACATACTTTTTAAAGTTCTTTAACTACGAAATTTGGATAGGTATTACGCCAGAGTTTTTACAGTTTAGACAGTAAATAATTTTCGTATACCTTAGCACTAAAAATGGGGGCAACTACTTTATACCAAATTTGGGTTCCACTGCACCGAAAATATTTTATTACACCGTTTGATGTAAAGTAGCCGCCTCCATTTTTTCCATTCAGTAGCACTTAAACTTTTAATTATAGTAAGATAAGAGACAGTAAATGTAATATTATGATACAATATAAAGAAAGAATCATTAATTTTGAATGATATATACGCACATTGATTTTTTTTAAAAAATAAGACTAGTTTAGAAAGCACAGAGAGAAGATAAAGATGAACACGAACAAGGCTTAGCAGAACGGCAGCTGATAAAAATTATACGTTTTAAACTCACAGATATTTAAATAAAATATAATTATTCTTATAACACCATTAAAAAATACATACCTATTTTAACGACGAACGTCAAATCATTTAATTGAATCACAACAATTCACTAACAACACACTTCTCAATTATAAACGCCAATTTTTGGTGATTAAAATAACTCGCCAACACATCGGTGTTTTCGGAAGGGAAAATAATTCTCGTTTTACGTGAATGACTGAGAATTTGGTGTAATCTAATTCTAGTATGAGTGTTTAGATTTAAATTAGACTCTTTAAATCGTATATGAACGCTTGATTTGGTGTTAACCCGGAATAAAGTGTTCCTTCACACTATTTTTTAGATAGTTCTATATCAGGGGTGGCGAAGCTCCTTCATAGTCGAACCATTTTTCAAAATTTGAAATTTTTCGTGAGCCGCAATTAAATACGCTCTTAAAAGGTACGCAAAAAAGGTATTAAATTTTTTTTATACATAAATTATATTTATTAAGAACATATAAGTAAAAGTACAAAATATGTGTATTGAATTTAAATATTAAAAATTAAATACATTTATTTTACTTCTCTTGATAACTCTTTAAAATTTGTGAATAATTGGTGACAGCACTTTTCAGTAATTCTTTGAGATGCTGGTTAGTTAATACTGATCGGTGTTCGTATTTCACGAATTTTCACATACATACGAATATTGAAATAATTCGACGAGCAGCCTTTTTTAATTCAAGATATTTCGATTCTGATACAAATTTCCAAAATTCAGTAATCGACGTCAACTTATATTTTAATTGTAGAGCTTAATCTTCTTGCATCTCTATTAATTCTAATTCTCCAGATGCTTTTTGGGTCATAATTATATTGGAAAGGGAAAACACTTACCTTGAATTGAACAACGTTGCACTTAGTCTTTCATATTTGTTCTCAGTAATTTAAAAGACATTTTGAAGCACATACGGAACGATAATAATTTTTTGAAATATAATAGCACAAAAATGAAAAGGGGACTCGGGTATATTTATCGATAGCTGCAAATAATCCTTCGAAGAGCCTCATGTGACTCGCGAGTCGCAGGTTGGCCACCTCTGTTCTATATCATATTCGAATAAATAAATTACACCGCAATTTTTAGGGTACGTTTGCAAAATTTATTTCGTATTTATCTCATTAATTAAAAATATTGAAAAAAAGATGTTTAAAAACAACAGGTTTTGAAAAATAAAAGAAATAAAAACATATGATTGACTGTAAACTTAAAATTTATCATTTTTATTTATTTATTTATTTTTCTTCAATGATTTACCCAGTCTCTACGTCACTTTTATTCTCTCGCCAATCACGGATTTTCCCATTTACTAATTAACTTATTCGCTGATTCACCCATTCAATAAGTGATCGGGTTTACTGATTTGAGTGCTTTCTTATCTCGTTTCATTTACAGACTCATTTATTAAAAATTATATCTTAGTCTTTAACGGTACCGCAAGGTGGCTGTCTCTGAAAGAAAAATTAATAAAATCAAGTTTTTATTTTTATCTAATTTTACTGTCCCCTTAGACATTGATAGTTGTAATATTTCACTACATTTAATTCATCTGAATAAAAATACCTAATAAAGCAAAAAACTACTTCCTCTAGAACATAGCACAATAAAAAGGTTTAGATAATTCTCGCAAAATAAGTTCCTGTTAAGTTCATTAAATGTGAATGACGCTATTCTTCGTAAGTAATAAACAAATATCGAGTTCATTCGAGAAAGATGACAAAAAGTCGAGAAAAATAACTTGAATTCCCTGAAGAGGAATTCAAGTCATTCTCCAGGGTCACCAAATGAGGAATATGAGCCGCTAGAAGCTCCTCGAGTGTTGAAGGAGCGGAGAAAGTGCTGTGGTATCAACTCTGGTATTAGAACCCGCATTTAGCCAGTCATGAGATTGACAGCTTAGCTTTCTCGGCTAAAGTATGCACCTAACTAGCCTCATAAGATATTCACCACACACTTTTACTATAAAATTGTTATGTATTCACCATTGTGTTAGAACCGATGTTGGCAGAAAAGTAGGAATTCTTAATCCTTACTACATAGCTCAGCTTCTTGCTTTCGAAGTGAGCTCGATTCTCGTGACTGTAAGCCTAGTTGCGCTCATAAAATTCTCTTTATTTAATCGGATACGGTGAAAATATTCAATTAACGATTTTTCTCTGGGAACTATCTTTTTATGGATTATTTTTTGGTTAAGTATGGTTAAAATAAAAATAAATTGTTATTTAACCCATTTTTCCAAGAAATTTTTACAGTGTATTATAAAACTGATATTGCTTTATATCGAAACCAGGGAGATATTTTTCGATTTGCCATTTCTCTCGAAAAAATTACATTATGTCATAAATCTAAACAAATTC